AAAAATCTATGTGGAACAGGCTGGTCTTGAAGTCACAGAGATCCTCCTGACTGCCTCCAAATGCTGGTGTTACAGGTGTGTGCCACCACGCCTTACTGTTTTCTGGTCATCACGGTTGTCTTGGAAAGATCTGTGGCCAGTGATTAGGTCAAGAGTTAGGGTGATTTGTAGCTAGAAGTATTTATTTCTCTGAAGTTGATTGGCTCATGTTTGAGGTCAGATTTGGCTTTGACCTTATGGTACCACATTCATGTCCACTAGCAGCTGGCCAACCTCAATCCTTGCTTAATGGTGCTTCCTCTATGCTTCTTGGTGGCCGTCTGAAGTATTACGTTTGTGTATCTGTGATATGGATAACAATCAAGTATGAACATGTCACAGCTAAAACCTGAAAACTAATTTGTTATTGCTTCAGTGAAAAAAGATGAAAGCAAATAGAGAATATTGCCTGGTATTAGTATATGCATTCAAGAAAGTCCTTTTGGGGGAATGCTGGTGAGTTAGATACTCCCTCAGCCCTTTCTGCCTGTTTGACACCTACAGTCAACATAAGAAAAGCAATGGATGTTTGCTTTGAACACGTATGCTTCTTTTTCTAAGTAGAAAATAATTTGCCTTCACTTTCCCCTGCTGAAACACTGCTAGTTATCTGTGTTTGTCTTATCAACCATGCTCTTCAAAAATTCCTCATTTGAGCTACTCTCCAATAAAGGGGTTAGTCAAAGGTTCAAGGAAAGGATTCTTAAATATGGATAGGTGTGGGGATGCTGAAAAGAATTTTTCTCTTTTTGAAATGTTATATCTAATATATTTCTCAAGGAAAAATGCTGTGTATGGCTTAAGTATGCTGCTACGGACTCACTAGGGAACTTGGAAAAGATTTACAATATCAGTTTCCAGGGAAATTGCATTTGGCATTCCAGAAAGCTAATTTCCCAGCAAATGTTAGGAGTGTAAATTGTAATTTGGGCATCACTGGTAACATAGATTGACTCTGAAGCTCAGGGAATAGATTGGATCAGCTTCCATATTTGTTTTCATGCACTGCCTTGCTTTTTGCAATAAGTCTTTTGCTTCCCCAAATTCTGAGAAGATGGGGAGAATGGAAGTTTTTGTGACAATGTTTACAGGCGCCCATAAAGGAGCACCAAGCAGCCCTCATCAAGAATTGCACTAGGTTACTGTGATGGTCTTTGTTCTTAATAAATTCTCCTTCAGGGCCAGAGAAGTAACTCACCTAATAAAACAGTTGTTCAAGTACAAGGTCCTGAGTTGGGCTCTGAGGACCTGAGTTGGGCTCCTTAGCATACACATTAAAACAAAATCTGGGCATAGAAGTATGCATCTAAAACCCCAGGATTAGAGAATGGAGACAAGGGGATCCCAGAGGCTCATTGACCAGTCACTGTAGCATAAATGGTGAGCTCCAGGCTTAGAGAGAGACCCTGTCTCAAAAAATTAGGTGGAGAGTGAGAGGGACACCAAACATCAATCTCTGGCCTCCATACCTCCATACCAGAATGTACAAGCACACCCACAACACACACACACACACGCACACACACACACACACACACACACACAGAGAGAGAGAGAGAGAGAGAGAGAGAGAGAGAGAGAAAAAAAAATTTTAAAAAAAAAAATGAATAAAAAAACAGATTTGTGTGTGTGTGAGAGAGAGAGAGAGAGAGAGAGAGAGAGAGAGAGAGAGAGAGAGAGAGAGAGGAAAAAACCTTTTAAATAAAACTATTATTGAAATAAAATGTTTCTTTCTTAAAATCGGAAAATATATAAATATCTGAAAACCTTTTCAGAAATGGAGACATTGAACATTTGTTTCAAGCAGGTTTTGAGAAAGCTTGCTCATCTCGTAAGCGTCACAGCAAGCACCTGACTTGGAGCTCTCTCCATAAAGGAACTTCCATTAGACTTCCCAGCCCTGAGCAAGGATTGTATGATGGATAATTTTAATTGTCATTTTGATACAACCTAGAATCACCTGGGAAGAGAGTCTCAGTGAAGGACTGTCTAAAGCAGATTAGCCTGTGGGCATGTCTGTGGGGGATGATCCCAACTGACTTAGTTGATATGGGAAGTCCCACCCTGAAGGGGAGTGGCACCATTCCTGGTTTTAGACCCTCTAGAAAGCTAGTTGAGTATTAAGCATGCAAGCACTCTTTCCCTGTGATGTGACTAATTGCTTCAAGGTCTTAACTTGCCCCCAAATAATGATTGCAACCTGAAACTAAAGCTAAAATAAACCCTTTCTCCCCTAAAGTACTCTTTCGTCAGGTATTTTATCATAGCAACAGATATGAAACTAGGATAGTATGCTGGTTTGAATGAGAAATGACCCCTGTAGGCTTTGAATATTTGGTCTCCAGTTGATGGTGGTATTTGGGGAGGTTGTGGAACCTTGAGAAGGTGGAGCCTTGCTGGAAGAGGTATGTCACTGGGAGGTGAGACTTGAGAGCTTATAGCCTTGCCCCACCTCCAGTTCACTGTCTCTGCTTTGTGTGAACTGCAGGTGGGGTAAGGCTTTGTTGAAGATGTGAGCTCTCCGTTTCTGCTCCTGTCAGTATGATTGCTGTTCACTGCATGCCTCTCCACCATGATGGAACTGTAAGCCCAAACAAGCTCTTCTATAGCTGTGGCTCTTCATCTAGAGGTGGGGCCCCATGAATTTTTCTCCACCAACTTATTTGTCATTATGTAGATCTTGCTGGACTACCGCATTGTGGAGATTTCACGGGTGCTGCTTCCCTATCATATCTAGAGTCCACTCACCAGCAGCAGGTGTCTTGTCCCTCTGGTTCTTACACTCTTTCTGCCCCCTCTTCTGTGATGTTTGACAAGAGCTATACTTGTCTGTGAAGACAAAGACATGTATTTAGAATGTAGTGAGAAATTAAGCTGGTCTACCTTCTTAAGAGTTTGCGATTACAGGGACTGGCTGAGCTACATTTCCAAGCAAATTATATGAGAATGAAAAAGATTGTAGATCTAGACGTTGACGAACTCTCCAGATAATTTTATCTCTAAATTAACTGTCTAAATGGACATTACTGAAAATGAAGCACATCTACATGTATTAACTTCAACAGGTAGTTGCTTGCTGGAATATGAATTTTTTACTTATTCTTATGTAATCCTTTTAGTCTGCCATCCTTTCTTTTTTTTTTTTTTTCTCTAAAGACACTCTCTGTGGCCCTCTTCAGTCTTTCAGGCACCAGGTGCACCATCACCCTTCACAGCTCTGTATTTTCATTCCATGATGTTTCCATTCTCTAGAACATTCCCTCCATCATTCTTGTAAGATTGTTTTTATATGTTTGTTCTTTAAGATTCAGGTCACAGGGGCTGAAGAGATGGCTCAGCGTTTAAGAGTACTGGCTGCTCTTGCAGAGGAACTGGGTTTGGTTCTCAGCACCCGCATGGTAGCTAACAACCATCCATAACACCAGTTCCAGGGGACCCATCACCCTCTTCTGACATCTGTGGGCACAGCACAACATGGGCACAATTATACACATGTAGGAAATACATTGATACACATAAAATATAAAAAAAGATTTAGGTCATATACCATCAAGTGGACTATATCAAGTTATATGTTTGACATACATAAAATATTCACAGTAAAAGGATGAATAAAAGAGATAAATCTTCCCTTAATCACCTAATTTTAGATCTTCCTTTCTAAAGGTCAAGGGTAAGAGCTACATAGTAGGTAACAATATGGATGGCAGTCTGACTCTGAATCTCTCCATTCGAATTCTGGCTCTACCCCCCCGAACACCTATGTAGGCTTGGTTACATCCTTTCTCTTCTGGCTCAATATCTCTGTCACCATACCTGTGATCATGGTACTATTCTGTCATAGGGTAATTGTGAGGATTTTGGGTAGACAATGAATAAAGTGCCTAAAATAACCTGTAAGTTATCTAAAAGTAGCAACTGTTATTATCAGAAGTAGCTAATTTTCTTAAAAATCAGGTTCGCCAATTTACTCTGCAATTTGATTGTTTCCCAAGTCACTCTTAAACTCACAGACTTTTCACGTGATTACAAGAAACACTACCCAAATGTGACAGAATTTGAAAATTATACTTTTTATTATAGTCACATAAAACAAAGTCAGGTACACCAAAATATCATAATACACTGGTGAACTAAAAGCCTCCAACACTTACAAATTTTATACATATATATATGTATACATATAAATACATACATATGTAAAAGATATATATTTTCTTTTAAAATAAAGTGACCAAATCTTGTTATATGGGGGCAGAAAAAAGAGAACAGAATCATAGACTTTTATCCGTTATAGACCATACTTTCACCAACCAAGAATATATACTGTGCACATTCATCCAGGTAGAATGAATTTTAATCACCTATTCGCTTTTGAATTCCCCCAAGCGAATTAATTTACCCCAAAGTTAAGGATGTGGCCCAACTTAACTGAACCAGAAACTAACTCTCTGACTGAGCATGGATTTCAGTTTTGGCTTTTCAATGAGGAGTGGCTAAGCTTCATTATTAATGTTCCTACTGTTTAGACTGATACCTTTTTGCTAAGATGATAAATACGATGATATACAAATCAGGTGTCTCTAATTCTAATCCTTCTAGTAACATGCAACTAAAGCTTTGGTGAAAAGATTTCTGATGCTTTCTCTCACTCTAGCTCAGGGGAGCAAAGTAATAGCAAGGTATCAACTGTGGGTCTTTTTTATTCTGGTATAACTGAAATTATAACAGAATTGGCATATAGTGATCAGTAGCGCATTGAGAGAACCAAATCAAATTAAAATGGACTGTGACTGTAAAAAACCTCAGTGAGAATATTTGAACCTAAAAGTGAAATAAAGGGTTAGAGAAAAACTGCACAATTTAAGTCAGATAATCTGGAAAAATAATCTCACTTTAAAAAGACTAAGAAGAGCCCTATTCCTGGTTCCAATAGCTCAGCTACTCTTCTCGTGTTTTTACCAGACATCCAAAAAAAAAAAAAAAATCGTAAGATATTTTGGCAGAGAATTTGTAGCCTTTGACCAAAAATAAAATAAAATAAAAATAAAAGAATCTTAAAATGCCTTTGAAAAGATGCTAAATTATGTAAGTAAGGCAGAGATGCTTAAAAATAGCTTCATAGAAACCCAACTATTAGGGCATCTTTGGCGGTTACATCTTCAGACTATATTAGCACGGATCCTATGCACGCAGAAAAGGGAGAAAGCGCATTGAGACAGTGTACGATACTCTAAAACTTCCCAACACGTAGGAGACTGGAGCAGGGAGAAACCCTGATACTTCTCAGAATCAGAACAAGGAGCAGAATACATTATTTCATGTTTGGAAGGGCAAAAGAGTAAGCGAGGGCTTCCAATTCTCCAATGCCCCGGCAGGGCCTGTGCAAGAACACAGCTGCCTAACTGCTGATCTTGGTGAGCATCTTGTTGATGGCCTGCTTGACATGCGTGGTAGAGCTGCGCCGTCGCGTCTTGCCTTGGACCATCCTCCTGCGACGCACCTCTCGACACAACTCATAGAACATCTCCGAGATGTTCCCTTCCCCAGTGCAGGCAGAACACTCGTAGAAAGCACACGCCAGCTCCGTAGCCAGCTTCTCCCCTTCCTCCGTGCTCACTTGTCTGGAGTGGTCTAAGTCGGCTTTGTTTCCAACCAAGATGAGAGTTACGTTTTTGGGCTTTTTGACTTCATCTAAAATGTTCTTCAGGGGCAGCACTTCTTCAAAACTTCCCCGATCGGTAATATCATAGACCAGCACAAAGCCTTCCCCCCACCGAATGTGCCCTTCCCTCTGGATGGTATCTTCCTGTGGGAAAAGCAAAATCAGCAATCAGGAGCTCTGGAGCCAATGACAATGTACAGACGCTGCTAATGTAGTAACCCCTTAATTACTTTTTATGCATATACATACATACATACATACATACATACATACATACATACACACATATGTTTATCATTAAATATCTTGGCTGTTCTCCTGGACAAGCTTATTTTCTCAATTACTTTGGAAAGCATTACTATGCAGATTTCAGGGAACTGAGAAGTTTCTCATTTCACAGAACTTAAAGTTATGCATTTCTTTTTTTCTGCCACATCATTAACTCTATAACCACAAGAACTACAAGCAAATTATTGTCTTGGTTGAACATATCACCTTTGATGTTTTTAAACTCCAACTGAGGAATTAACACAAAACATCATGAAGACAAGCGGTCCATATTCTACCTTTTAGGTATCAGGATTAGAGTCACCACTTGGAAGATGTGTGTTTTAATGTCCTCTCTGTTCAGATTATAAACAATTAAAACTCCAGGGACAGAAAAAAAAAAACAGTGATAAGCTGTATAAAATCTGTTGTTTTTTTTTTAACTGGAGGATGGGACTTTTTGTCTTAATGCCCTAATGTGTTGTACAGTATTAGCAATGATGGAGACTTTCCTGCAGTCATTACGGGATGGTCACTGCTCCTGCAGAGGAAGAACGCACGTATGGTTTTGGAAAGCATTGCTGGCTGGGTGTGGTGGTCCATGCCTGGATGCCAGCACTTAGTAGGCAGAGCCAAGAGGACCTTGTGTTTAAGGCCAGCCTGTGCTACATGGTGAGGCATGGGAGAAAGAGGAGGGGAGGGGAAGAGACAAGAGGAGAGGAAAGAAGAGAAAGAAAAAGGCATTGCTTTCACGGGTTCAAATGGCTTCCAACAGCCTCCTTTGGTGTGTTCAATGCTACAGAGAGGTCCACCCCCAAGGAGGGAGTGATGAGATGGAAAAGCATATAATTCACTTCAGGAACATTTCTGGGATTAAACATTTTAATTAAGATCTTCTTGCAGGTCATCGATACAGCACCATGGAAACCCTTGGCTCTCTACCCATCATTCGTGTGGTCATTCCTGTATGTGGGAACTAAGATTATGAGCCCTTTTGTAAGATCTCAGCTGACCATTGTCAAAGCAAATTTGCAAGGAATACTACAGGAGAGATTCTCCAAATGAGATGTTCTGAAATAAACAAACTTACATATGGTCACAGAAACTTGAAACACACACACACACACACACACACACACACACACACACACACATACACATTAGTAGCTGTCTTTTCAGTAAAGACGCCTGTTTAAATTTTTCTGAGCATTTGAAAAACACGTTTTGCTATGAAAATATTAGGACTTGGCATACCCCCAAATATATGTGGGAGATTATAACTGAAATGGTGTACGACTATTGTGATTTTTTCAGCACTTTCTTGAAACATGGGTAATTTATATAAGGCTGCTATTAGATATATATTAATATTAAATGGCTAGCTAATCAAAGAAATGGGTGTTTAGTCATACAAAGGTTCATTATAGGAAAATACTTTAGCTATTTTTCATATTACACGTCTTTTTTACTTGATGCAGAAAATATTTAGCTGAATTCCTACTCACCTGACCAGCGGTATCTAGGATTTCCATGGAAACAACTTCATCATCGATGGTTGCCTGGTGTCGGTAGGTAGATTCTGAGAATGAGCAAACAAAGAAAGCACAAAGGTAAATACATGGGAAGTTTAATGGGAGAAGTATTTCTGTCTTCTGGCATAGGGGACTGCCCAGGGAAGAGAGGGGAGAGGTACAAGAAGAGAACTATGTACTACGGAGTTCCAGGAAGAGGAGGGAGGTATGGGAACAGAGCTTCCACAGGCGGCCACCAACTTCCAGGGAATCATACAAAGAGCTATCCACCTCCTCACTCCTCCGTCCTTTCCTCTTAAGGCTGTGTCTTATTCTCCCACGAGGCCAGCTCTCTAATGCTCTTTTCCATTTAAATTAGATAAGGCCCCTACATTCTAAAATGAAGTGCTTTCCCCCACACAATGCATTCTGCCATGATACTCCTAAAAAATCCAGTTTCTGGAAATTACTGTTATTTTCCTAACAAGGTTACATTAAAAGTTAAAAAAGAAAACCTATGTTTTTCTTCCAAACCTCAATCCTGGAAATCTCATAGACATTACAGGGAAGCGACTAGGCTTACCACACCATGTAAAACTATAGGGAATCTTGGCAAGAGGTAGTTGAGCTTGTATCTGGTGAGGAACAGCCACCCAAAATACAAGGGGCTGGGCACATGGAGGTGAGATGGAACAATGCAGATTTTTCCTCTCTTGTTGCCCGTTCAAAGCAGAAAATAGCAGTTGTTGTGGACCAGCTGGGGTTGGTAGGTCAATAGCGGAGCAGTCCCCAAGCCACAGGAGAGTGAGGAGAGGCTGGCGATACAAGAAGAGGAGGTAGCCATGAATGTGACCCTCGTCACATGAGTGGGAAACAGAGGTCAGATACAAATGCCAACTGGTGCTGGTCTAGATGAAAACGGTTACCACTAAGGTAAAGGAGTCAGTGAAGGAATGTGCCGATGATGGTTGGATTGAGGATTTATCTCAGAAGGTATCAGTAGCTGAAAAGAAGGGAAACCTCATTTGAAAATGTAATAAATACAGAAAATTGGTTTAGAAATCTTATTCTTTATAAAATGAGCATCAGTGGAGAGAATAAAATATATAGATGTGTGGAAATACTTGAGGTGTAATGACTAAGAACTGCCCTGGATGAGAGTCATTGAAAAACTTAAGATCAAAATACCTAACAATGTGTACAAGAGTCCCCTATCTGGACCCACCATAGTGAGATTCAAAGACATCAATGGCAAAGAAAAATCTAAACAGATTAGGAGAAAAACAAAACACATTATCCATGAAGGGGCAACTTAACATTGAACTTCTTACCAGTGATACTGATTCAAGACATTCATGGCACAAAACAAAACAAAGTAAGCCTAGAAGCAATCCAGAATCACAATTCTAGATGATTCTAATATACTATAACAGGGTAAAGGTGGGGCAGATATCAAAGGCAGGTTTAATAAACTGACAGACATTTCAGAAGACAAAAAGGAAGAAAGTAGGAAAAGTGAACTAAGTACAAAATTCAACACAGTGGAAGAGGGGACCTGCAGTGAACCTACAGGCATGAGAGGACCTCAAAGAACGAACACCTTGATACAGAACGCAGAAATACTCAACTCTTTTAATGACAAATCATGCTAATTCACTAGCAGGTGGAACCAGAGCAACAAAAGGAAAAAGAATTAAGAAAACTCTAGCCTCATTATGTATTTATGTATTATAAATTCAAAAATTCTAAATATGTCTGTTCATTTCAACAGTGGTAATGCAATGCATATCACAGTCAAGCAGAGTTTATTTGGGGAATGTAAATAGTGTTTAAAATTTATCAGTGCAGTTTAACACATTAATGGACTAAAAGAAAAGAGTCACATGCTTAAGTGTATGAAGAAGATAATATTTTTTGTTCCACTTAAGATTTTTTAAAATGTTGAGAAAAATTAATAAGCTAAGATATTCCTTGACATGAAAACAGCTACAAGTCAAAACCCTACAATATACATCAAGTAAACAGGCACATTTTATAGACATCATGTTTAAACTTCAAAGTAAGAAAACCATGTGCTACACTATACAAAAATATAACCCAGCAGTAAGGTAGTGAAAGACAAAGAAGGGCCAGCATGAATCTGAAGACCATCAAGGATAGGAATTGAAGGTCAATATAGAACCAGCAGCATTCTGGGACTGGAGAGTGGCTCAGCTGTTAAAAGCACTGGGTGCTTGTGCAGAGGACTCAGGTTCGATTCCAAGCACTCACATGGCAGCTATCAACTGCCTGTAACTCCAGTTCCAGGGGTTCTGACACCCTCTTTTGATCTTTAAGGGCATTGCACAACACAGGTGTACTTACACATATGCAAGCAATACACTCATACACATAAAATAAAAATGACAAATAATATATAATATAAAAAGAATCATCAACACTCTCATATACATTCTTTTTTGGATTATTTTTATTTTGTGTGTGTATGAGTGTACTGCCTGCATGTGTGTAAGTGCACCTGTATCCTACAATGCTCATGGAAGTCAGAAGAGGGTATTGGATCCCGCAGAACTGGAGTAACATGATTGTTAGCTACCACGTGGGTGCTGGTAACCATCCTGGGTCCTCTGCAAGTGCAGCCAATACCCTTAACCACTGAACCATCTCTCCAGCCTGCATATATATACTTTTATATATCAGCTAAAGCTACATAGGAACACAAACAAAAAATCACTCCCAAATAGCAGCAAAATAATAGTATCTAAGAAATTAAGAATGAGTAAAACTCTTTAGCAGAAAAAACTTGGAGATTTGTGACAGGACATACAGACTCGAAAGGGTAGGAAAATTGTTAACTGAAATGGGTTAGCAACCATTTTTAGATGTTAACTTCACTGGGGCCTGGTGATTCAGGTCTGTCATCCCAGCTACTTGAGAGGCTGAGGTACGAGGATCATAAGTTTTGGGTCTTCATGGGCTATATAGTGAGTTCAAGGTCAGCCTGGGCAACTTAGTGAGAACCTGTCTCCAATATAAAAATAAAAATGGACTGGAAATGTAGCTCAGTGGGAGAACATTCCCTAGCATGTGCAAGGGCTCCAAGGCCTTGAGCCCATCCCCCAGATTAAAAAAAAAGTTGTCAATCTCCCTCAAGTTGATTTAGAATTTTGTGCAATTCAGCTTAAAAATCTGGTCATACCTTTTGAGGAACAAAATAAATTTATCTGAATTGATGTAATACAAAGTATGTAACACCACTCAAAACAGGTGAGCAAATTCACAAGACCTTAGAAGAAAATTGATGTTCATATAGGAATCTAGTTATACACTGAGAATTCAATTGATATAGCAACACAAACTGCTTGTGAAGAGAATGGACTGCCCCATGAACAGCACTTGGACCAGAACTAATGGGGGAAATAAAGAACTAATGGGGGAAATAAAGATTGATTCCCTTGAGCCTTAAGCATATATTAAAAGTTAATCCAAATAGATTAAAGACCTATATCCATGTGGATTTGGAAAACAAAAGAATAAAAAGGAAGAGAATATAAAATTTTGTGTGCACATAAAAAGTGAGATAAATGGGCTGTTTCAAAATTAAGAATGTTTGTACGATACAAACAGCTTTAAACTGAATAAGATATTTGCAGCATGACAAAAATATGTTAGTAACTCTTCCTTTCCCTCTCCTTCTGTATCTCTCCCCAAGGGTCTCATTTTCTAGCCCAAGCGGACCTTGAACTGAAAATAACACCTTAGATTTCTGAGTGCTGAGATTATAGCTGTGGTTACCATTCTCAGCTTGAATTTTTAGAAAGAAACAAATATTAAATGAACATGCAGATGCCAAAGCTCTTGGTTCTCTTCCTGAACTAGAAGATAAGATCCTGCTGCTGAAGACAGAACGTACTTCGGATACAGGACTTGGAGCAACAGAGCAGGAACTGACCTGGAAGCCTTCTACCTGAAGTTTAGCTCTCATAATGCTAGATGATAGTATGCAAACTGCCAAGGGAGAAAATCAATGGTCCAACCCAGCCCTAGAGCCTAATAGCCATAATGACTGGCACAACACACGACCTCTATTGGTGCAGTAGTGGCACTGTTATCTGGGGGGCAATCAACGGCTCTCTAATTGGACTTAAAGCCTTCTCAATGAGAGTTGAACTCAGGGGTGGCACTGTAAACTCAGTCAAATACACACGGCTGGAGAGGAAATAGATCCTAGAGAAAACCCTATCTCTTTCATATCTCGAGACAAATGAAATTTCTTACCATATGCTAAATAGGGATCCCTATATTTACCGACAAGAGCGTACAGTACACCACTCATCAAAGAAGCTTCTTTTTGCAACAGATGGAGGCTACTGCAGAATTCTACAACTGGTCACATACAAAGAATATGCGTCTGAGAGATGCCCAGTCCTAGGTGACACATCTACAGTTGAACCTCTACACCTAAGGTTCATGGAACACAGTGGAATGAGGGGTAGAGAGAAAACTAATGCATCCCTCACCTCTCACTAGTGAAACTTCCTCATACAACAAAGTGTGATGCACACAGAAGGCCACAACTGGCCAAGCTTTAAAGAATAAGAGGCTGCAGAGTGTGTGCCCCTGAATAAGACTCCTACATTGAACCTCACCCATCCACGGCTCAGGGACCATTGTGGAACAGAGGGTGGAAAGATTGTAAGACTGTAAGGACCCATGCTAATTCAATCAGACAAGGGCACAGAGTGGAGTGAGAGAAATGGGTGATGGACCAGCCCTGGACTGAGAACTGTTGGAGACTGCTACTGGGTGAGGGAGAGAATGCCTTCAATACAATCTCTAGACAGGCTGACTAGACTCCAGTGGATGAATTTGCACTGAAGGACATCTGGGTACGAATGCTTCGTTGGATAGGACTTAACATGTATGATGGAATACATGAGGTCCAGTGGGTGGTTGGGGAAACATGGACAGGGTAGGGGGTCTAAATTTGACTAAGAACTGTTGTATGAAATGTACAAAAGCTCAATAAAAATTTTTAAATGAGCATATAAACACAGAAAGTTTATGG